AAAGAAGACAAAATACGCGAGAGAGCACGTCGTTTGAAGAGCACGCTGATCTCTGCCGTCGGGTGGATAGCGTTGGAACGGGAGTCAATAGTTGCTGGCCCGTAAAGATTAACGCCCTAACTGCGCAGTTTTTGCGACAAAGCTGATGTGATTCACTTGCGCACAGACCCCTGCACAATTCTATCTGGTATCCTCTGCACTAGAATGGGCTTCCCGTGTTTACGCCTTTAGTAACCTTTTTGTGCGTTGCCACAATCTTGTCTGTCACAGAATCGGCGTAATTGACTGTGTTGCATTTGTCCACACAATACTTGCGTGCCTAAACCGATTTAACACGCTTGTGCTTCTGTCTCGCAGACAAGCTTGCTACGATTTGACTGACAGCCGAAATGTCGTTGACATGTTTACGCTGCCACGATCCATGGTCAGCTCTCCGAACCGTCACGTCGTGGGCTTACCATTTTGCTTCAGATAACTTTCGTCCGGAATGACAACTTAAATTAATACAATTGATCCAATAACAACTTATTCATTATTCCCCAAACTCATCCAGGGTCTTAACTATGGAACTTCTCATACTGAGAATTATACGAAGTTATTACGTTCTTCCTTTTCCCTAATTTTCTTGTCACCCAACAGATTGCCTGGCAGTATTGTCGATAACCCTCCACAATCGGAAGCTAACATCCGACCTTCTAGAAAAATAATATCAATTTGTAGGGTAGGAGAATGACCAGAGGTTAACTTTTTACTAGGGACTGACCTCTACATAAATCGGAATAACCAATGTGGAATATTCCCATACTGTATTATCCTGTGGCTTTACAGGCTTCATCGTTGACCAAAATCAGGCCCACTCTTTTCACTTGTACCCCTATTGCGAAAAGCTCAAAAAGTCAGCAGGATTGAAAAGAAAAGCTGGTAAGTGAGTAGTCGAATATTTTCCGGCCTCCTACAATCGTAATCACTGCGACCACCTGGCTACCTGATCGCTTCTTAAACTTACTTTCCACACGAGCAGTAAGCTGAGCAGAAGCACGATGCAGGAGATATTTTTGTAGTAGCCGCATGTAATCTAGATATTCTACTGAAAACTCGTTCTTGTGCCTTTTCACTTTTATCGAATCTATTTCTTATTTATCATCAAGCTGCTTGTGAAAAGTTCTTTGAAAACGTCTACACTTTCTTTCTACATTACAACTGCAGTCTCAGGCTTTCAGATTCCCCTTCCTGCATGCTTTGTGATGAGAAATGTATGACATTTGTTTTATTTCGAGCATTTTGCTCGTGAAATCGTTTAACAAAATCGAGTGGTTCTCCTTGAGTGTAGCTGGACTTTCCAGAATTGCCTAGGTGTGGCTGTTGCGCCCGAAAATGGAGGCGCGAAGTGGACTGCCAGTGAAAAAAAAATAAAAGGAGCTGCTGAAAAGCCGGAAAATAAGAGCTTTTTGGACAGTAGAAAGGCCCACTGAGAAGAAAAACTGGGCAATGGAACGATTGAGAAAAGTGACGGATGATAGGAAGAGACCAACAGAACATGGATGGCCGCAGTATCGCGAAGCTGGCAAATCCTCACCAGAAGTCTTTCTCGCTTTTGCCATGAGCTTTCGAGTCGCACAAGTAGAGCCCTTGTGGTTTTTACATCGTGGAGTGCGCATATACTTGCTACTAGTTTTAAAATGTTCTTGATTCTAATAAGCAATGAATGTGCCTAATACCAGAACTGTTACATCGTTAGCTAATCCGCAGAAATCCCTAAATTCCAGAAATCGAAACTTTTACCTTTGGAGAGAAAGTCATCCTTGTTGCTGTTATCCTGATTCACCCTTCTGAATGTGCCTATGTTCACCTATTTCGAAATCTGCTTCAGATCCCAGCAGACCTCATCCTCAGATTTCAGAGATTCTTGCAGTTGATCCTTAGGAATAAGTAAGATCCAAAAAACACAGTACTATGTGCTGCCTTGTCACACTCTCATCTCATAGCGTTACCGAAAAACCCTCTCCGAAATTTTTTCGCCTTATTGTGGGCCGCCATTATACGCACATCCTCGCGCCTTTTTGTCGTCCCTTTATCGTTCAAAAATAATCTATCAATAATTTTGTCGTTAATATATTTTTACCTTTCACGTTTATTTTTCTTTGTCTTCTTTCCTTGTTTTTCTTTATGCAAGAACATTCGTGCACTGTTATGAATACAAAATAAAATAATCGATAAGTAAATAAATAAATTAAATTACTAATTGGTGTGATATTTTTGTGACCGATAAGCAAGCGGTTGTCTCCAGAAGGTGAAAAAACACCGTACGAACCACAAAGAACAACCTCCCTCCTATGAAAGAACTCCGTACACATGGGTAAAAACGAAAATAAGATAGTCCAACTCTAGCAGACTTGGTCTGCTGCTGCGTGCAGGTTTTCCATCGCGCTGGGCTAATTTCGGTGTCCGTAGACTGGAGGGGTTCTCCCGTACGACACCCACTCGCCAATAACCCTTCTATAATTATTTCTTCAGAGAATGCAAAGCCTTCCTTGTCAATATTAACCTCTATCTCTTGCGTAGGAAACTGTCAAGCTGTTTGCTGGCCCTACTTCGCTTTACTGAAATGTTGCACTGAAACAGATCATGTAAACAATCGGTTAACTACCAGTTACGATTAAATAAGCGGCACTCATGTCGTTAGGGGCGATATTCAAGTGAGTGAACCACATACAGTGCTTTGGACGAAGCCCTCAAAGGGGGAAGAGGTCCAGGTGTGGATGTGAGGCAACTTTCGTTCTCCTTGGCGTTTCTCTCCTCTGCGGGGTTTAGTCTTCATGCGTTTACCATCACGGTTTTCGACATTACATTGGTCTCGAATGCTCCCTTAACGAATATGAGGGCCAATAAGATATCGTTTTATGGTTTACGAGATACCTTGACATGAGAACGGATCATCATGAATAACGCTGGTGGAGTTTCAGTTTTATTCCTTTGTCCAAATCGCTGCGCCGTGTACAATAAGCGGTCGCACGTAGGGAACTCGTCACTAGACTTGGCATTTTTCCAGACCTTATAAGTTAAAGATATATCTCACTACTTATATATAGGGTGCGCTAAGCTCAAACTTCCAGGGGCTTGTAGACCATCTGTCGAATTGACGGAAGTAAGGTGTATGTTTCTACTGTATGAAATTATTATAGATCACCAGGTGAGAAAGATGTGTGCTTACCTGGCATTACAGTCAGTCATGGCGATTCGTGTTGGAAATTAGTTTAACGAGACATCTGTAATTACCATATACAATACTAGTTCACCTTTTTGTCACTGAATGGGCTCGAAAGGCAAAGATCTCTTACAATGAGCGAACTTACTAGATTGACCTGTATTAGGACGGGAGAAACGCGGCAAGATTCGAATAGATTCGGATTAACCTGTTGAGGTTTTAGAAGTATTAATGGGAGAAACATGAAATTGTCCGTTCGGTCCCTTTGTTTTCCTAGTCTCCATCAATACACATCCGCCCTTTCAAGATTCCTCTGTCTTTCCTGCCTCCAAACTTCTTTTAATTCGTCGATTCTACCGATTGATACCTACCCACTTCTCCGTGCGGATTCACGTATTTTCCAAGTGGGCGCAACTGTAAAAATTGCATAAGCGTAATGACATTTTGAACGTTGGGGTTCCGATGCCTCTTTCCTTCCCAAGGTTCGCTAGGTCTCTCATCTGACACTATTTTTAGGAACCTTAACCACCTTTGTCTGCTCCGCGAAAATCCATAAGGTGAAATATACCCATTGTTCGCATCCACTGCATATCTGCTGCGCTACCTCCTATATTTCTGCCAGTATTCAGTCAGTGAAATTGTCGGCACACGTTTCACTTTCTCACCCGAATCCGGTTCAGCGTCAAAGGAAACGTGCCGATGCCAAGGCTGACCGCTTTGACAGCAGCATAAATCAAAGCAGAACCTAATCAAATGTACGACCTAGTTGAAAAGCCTGGCGCGTTTGCACTCGGAACAACTTTCACCACCACTGGCCGATGAATCATATAGCAGATCCAGTTGGTAACCGCCACTCAGCGCTTCATAGTTACCAAAAAACTGGCTCCCAACTGCTGGTCGACCGATTTGCCATCGTGAAAGCTTCACGTAAACGCTTTCACGTAGTGTTTTACGGTGTTGCAACATAAATGACTCACACATTCGCATTCACACAACTCAGCTGCGTTTGGCGAATCTCTGGCGCTTCTTGTGCGATCACTTGGAAGTGGACATGTAGGAGTATGAGGGGTAGTCGTGTAGTGACAAATACCACCGCTTACTACTCGCACGGTCCGAATCCAATCCTGGTTCGTACGCCGTCCAGGCATCCCATCTCCATCCTCGCGGCAGGGTTAATCCCTATTCGGGAGGATCGTATTAAAGGAATCTTGCGCGGAAAATTCTTGCACTCTTTCCTAACATGAATATGTCAGTTGTGATCACTGGAAAATAGCACACAAAGTTTCACGCATGAAGATTCGGTTTCTGAAGAGAAACAAACGTACAAAAACTACACGTTATGGACCATCGAAGGACCAGGAGGCAGAGCCAGGCGAGGCATGGAAAGAAGACGGCGTTTGGCCGGCTACGTACCAGGCGACGCAATGAGAGAATCGGGTTAAAGCGCGCGATTTCGGAGAGTGGAGACAAATCGATCGATGGAATAGGATGGAGTAGAAGTGTAAGATGTGAATGCAACGAAGCAGAAGGCCAGAAAGAGCTTCTAGTGAATGCACTCCAAGAACCAAGTTTGAGCATCCCCGTCGCCAGCATTCGTGAAAGACGTCCGTGGGCAATTCGAACGCGTAGCAGCCTTTTCGAGTTTTCGAATTTCTAATCAAAACGAAAGCAATACTTCAGTTCTTTTCACTATTATCGTGGATAATGAGTCTCAAGCCAGTGATTTATGGCTGAAATAGAATCATGATTTTTCCGCGCAAGATTCCTTTAAGCTTGTGTAATCTCTTTCGAAGGAATGGATGTTGGTGATGTGAGGGGATTGTGTTGATTAGAGATGAGATAGGTGCAATGACTTCCATATGTTACGTCCTGTGCCTTAATGGTAGGGTGTGAGAGTGTTTTCTCTAGAGAGTTCGAGAGATGTAAGGGAACTTCCCAAGATGTATGGTGGAGAGTGGTAAAGACTCGCACTCAGGGGGCCTCTCGAAATGGCACAACGACACAGTGAGCCTATCCCGGGTTCATCATTTAATGCTAGTTTCTTGAGCTGCAGCAACCGAGACAAACAGTAGTGGCCGCAGCATAACTGTACTATTAGGCAGGACGTCTTCGAAATGGTCCTGCAATTTTGAATGAATGTGAATGCGTGCCATTCGGGAAAAGGTTTAAAAGAAGTCGGTCAGCCTTTCTCCTGACCTATGCAAACATGATTCAATATCCTTCTAACCACCTCAATTTTTGTGTGTATCTTCTTTTGACCTTAAATGTGGCGTTTTCTGAGTAGACTCGATACTTCGATCAAGTCATGAAAAAAACGCCGCAGGCATTGGTAAAATGAAAAACAGACAAAGTCTAATCAGTAAGACGGGAGCAGTACTGAACCGTCAAATGATTTTTCGACTTGTTGTTCATGCTAATCACAGAAGAACATTTACATATAGATAGACAAATAAATAAATTCCAGGAAAAATTTCCACGATGGCTGGGAGAGAGAAGGAGCTGCGATCGCTGTTTATCACAAAGGGGAGCTGATAGTTGACTTGCAAGTCAGTTTTGCCAAAATTTTTCTCTCTTCGCATTTTTACCTTCTGAAAATCCTGGTAATCCACAGAAATCCATAACTCCACTCATTCAATGCATTTCAAGGGCGGCTACGCTGACAAGGCATCAGGACGAAAATGGACTGCAGAGACGAGAACTGTGGTCTTCAGCGCAACGAAGGTAGGTTTCTCTATATGATAACGGGTTCTTGCTTTTCACTTGAATTTACAGTACCAGGGAAAAATCAAGAAAAAGGAAAACCGGATTAACCCAATCTTGAAATGTACTCTGTTTTTCGCTAGTGCAGGCAGTTATCGTGCACTGCAAGACAGTTTTTGTATGTCTGAATATCCTTAAAAAAGAGAAGAACCGTTCCTTAGGCTGTTGGAGCGCTTTGCGTCGCGATGCTGGTGGATCGGGGACACATTTCTTACGAGGACAAGATGAGCAAACTCTGGCCAGAATTTGCTCAGCATGGCAAGGAGAACATCACCATCGACTGGCTCATGAGCCACAGGGTAAAACTTTAACCTGTATCTTAGAATAATCAGGAGACCCTTCTAAATTGTCCCTGAAAGGGCCACATGCTTGAACATGAGAATTTCAAAGATTTAATAAGTGATTTTTCCGTGATGTTGGTACCGACAATACTGCCCTGTAGGCAGCGTGCCCGCTAATTTGATGCCGGCAGAGCTGGACCAAGCTTTCCGCTTTGCAACTCAGTCCATGGGTTTAGCTTTTGCTGAAAGTGACTGCAAAAGCTCGGTGGAAGTTGGGGAAAAACCTGGAGCCATCACGATACCATTCCTAGAGGTACTTTCTATAGTATTCTTAGTGGTAGCCTATATAGTTTTTTTTTCTAACCTGCTTTTCATTCCGAAAATAAGTCCATTGATTGCGGAATTTCGTGAATGTCGTCAAAATTGCCACACATCTCGTAAAATTTGTTCTCTGAGAGTAGCAAGCTAAGCCCAGTTTTTCAGATACATACTACCCCCCCCCCTTTTCGGAGGCCAAGAGACGGCACTTTGTCACAGATTGCGCATCAAATGGTTGACCCTGTCCCACAAACCTAACAAGGTTCAGTGGAAAGGTAGCTGAAAAACTCAAAGTCTTAAGAATGGGGACATGTTCCACTGACATAGTGTGGCAGCATACACCTGCAACCCCAGGCTTTTCTGTCTTTTATCGCCATCAAGATGAAGCGTTTATCTGTCCTCCGAAGGCATCCTTCCTCATAGTGGACCCGAAGCCGCACATAAGCTGAATTACAACCCTTTAGCGATACTCTGACCCCTTGGGCACGTTTCGCTCCATCAGTCGACTTCGTTCTGAATAGATCCTCATTATTCTCTCGTTGTAAAAGTCGGAACAAATTACCATAACGCTTCGTCCGGGCCAACCAAGCTTTCCGACAGCTGTCCCCGCCAGGCATTGTATAGGCCCCAATCGTCTTCAACTTGCTACTACGACTGAATGGAAATAGAATGCATGGCGTATCGCAGAGCAGGAATTGATCAGCGCTGAATGCTTTACCTTTTATCCTTTTATCAGGCCGCGAAGAGAACTCTAGAAGGGGCGAATCTATGAAGTTGCAACATAAGGAGTTGCAATGATTGTTTATGGAAGCGCGCGCTATTGTGGTAGTATGATTGTTCCGGTTAACAGGTTCCCAAGCGGAGGTACGCTGAATGTTTGCTCACGCTGAGGCATCCATTCATGCAACTAGAATTTTGAGGCAAAACATTGATGTTCATGCATGATGATGAGACTAGGGAAGAATGGCCAAAAATGGAGGGAGGGAAAGATAGAAGCAAAGAAAATTGACAAAAAGAAAAAAACGATGTGAACCATTGAGGCGGTTTACCAGCCGATGAACAAGCTCCGTGCAGATAAAGGAAAGCAGTCCTGTGGCCAGTAGTGGCAATCGCTTGGCTAACTTCTTTCCTATTCCGCTTCCCAGCTAGAAAGTCTGATTGCTGACCCATGCAAACGCCCAGTGTAGAAGCCGAAGAATCGAGTTAGTCGGCCAATTTTGGCTTGTGCCATGCATTACTATTCCCATTTGAGATGGCGAAGCTTAGCTGATGAGCAGGTCCGCGTTTTGATCCTTCAGAGGTGCCTCGCACCAGTTAACCGCCTCGGAAAATGAAAAATTCCTGGCACGGGCGAAACCAATCCGGAGTCTGATCCACGGATCGTGTCTGCGTGAGCGTATTTTATTATACTGATTGAGACATAGTTGCCCTTTATTTCAGAATGGACCTACATAGCCCGGATCTCATTTGATACCGCGTTGTACTGGAGGACTTGAACAGCCCTCTCTAAATTATTATATTTTACGTTTTGTGTGAAATTCCATTGAAGCCGTTTTCACTGGTGTTCGCATTTCCTTTCAAGTGACCATGTCTGAATTCAAAAAAAATTAGGACTACTAGTTTAGTCGGTATCCCAAATAAACAAAATTTATGGGATTAATATTGTTATAGCGTATTATGCTTTGATTCAGGCAGGTCTAGCAGCCCTGGATGAGCCGATATCGAGGGAAGATGCGAAAGATTTCGAGAAAATGGCTTATGTGCTCGCTAAACAAAAGCCAAACTGGGAACCGGGAACGAAAAGCGGGTGAGTGTGGCAGAGAATAAACTGGAGGAATCTGCTATTCGTGATCGTGTCCTGATTTAGATACCATGCCATCACTTTCGGGTGGATTGTTGACCAAATTGTGCGACGAGCCGATCCCAAGGGCAGATCAGTGGGACGTTTCTTCAAGGAGGAAGTAGCCGACAAATACGGTAATACAAACGGTTTTCGCTCGCCCTTGTATGGCGTATTTGAACATAAATTCGGGTCATTTAGGAATCGATTTTCATATTGGACTTCCAAGTTCCGAAGAGCATACGGTGTCAGGACTTTCTATGCCGTCTACGGCTCATCTCCTGAAAGAGATTGTTCATGACCCGAGGTAAGACCGAATGGAGCAATTCCACTAGTTGACAGGCACATGCCGTTATTCACGCATGAGGGTAAGAAGAATAGAACGCTTAGTGTTACTCAATCTCTTTCCACACTCGACTTCCATTCAGAATCGCAGAGACATTTAAGTGCAATACCTTCACTGCGTTGAATTGCAGAGTTCGACCGATGAAAATTCGATGTTTTTATCCTTCCAAACACTTGTATAAATTTACGACCCCGGACAGGTAGAAGGCCTAGTTAGCGTGGATGGAGTCCGGCCCAGAGTTCATCAGAGAACCATACGCGTGTGAGCACCCCCACAACCTATGATTCCAGT